CCCCAAAACCCCAAAACCCCAAAACCCCAGATGCAGGATAATAATAATTTTTATAACTCATAAATTTTATTTCAATTAAACTCAATTAAATATTCTTGGAATGTAAATGCTATACTTTTGTTCGCTTCTAACGCTAACCTAAATAGGATAATAATAAGTTTGAGTGCTAGCATTGATATCTCTTTTGAATACTTCTCTAGACATCTTAACTATCATTGGGCTTTTGCACCCTGGCCCAAATATTATTACCTAGAATAGCTTTTTATTTCTTTCCCCGCTAAGTTATATGTCAATGCTATGATTAATTTCTTGGCTAAGCTATTCTTTTAGGCCGATACAATAAGTCATCTGATTTGAAGAGGGATTAGGATTGCTGATTGCCTATGATAAACCAATGTTACCTCCAGGTTATTTGCAAAATCCAAATTATGATCCAGATGCCTCATCAGATAATATACTCTCCTCCAAAAATGCAGAGATATTGTCCTATTGAATAGACTGAACTGCATTTTAGCCTTAGAAGCAAAAGCCATTGCCCTCAATAGTAAAGTAAAGCTAAGAAATGTCCTAAATCATAGTGTTGTCGAAATGAATCCTTTATATCAGATCCTTTTACTAATCTCTCCAATAGCAGAAAAATTGCATGTTAAACATTTTGATTTTCAAATCCTACTTAACTTTATCCTATTTAAGCTGATTCATTTCCTCCTTAACCTTGTCTAGGTCGCTCTTAACTTTTCTTTTAAGTGAAAAATCGAAAATATCTACTTTTAAAAATAGGTCCTCTGCTGATTATTAGAAGCATTGGTATTTATTTTTTGTAACCCAGTGTTGTAGCTTGCTGAAATAGTCCATCTCAAATTGCCTAGTTCCTTCATACTCATCAAGAGTATCTGTATTTAAGACATGAATGTTAATAGTCTAATAATTTTTGGAATCCTGAAGAGATCCTTGGAATAGTCGGCTTGAAATTATTGATTTGCTAAAATTCTGATTGTTAAGGCTAAGTGTAACTTGATAGCTCATTTGAATATTATATTAATTCTTATTAATGCTTTAAACTTAATTCGCTCTTAAATTCATCTATATTCCAGTATTTTGGGGTTTTGGGGTTTTGGGG